ACACACTGACGGACAGACGGAGGGTATTTCCAATCCCTCCTCTTCACTCCACGACAAGGAACAAAAAAATTGTTTGGTTGCAATCAAGGGGTTAACTCTGCAGGTGCTTTTTTTTTTTTGTGGCCTAAAGCGGTTTTATTGGTGAGCAGTGGGCGTGTTCTTTGGGCTGGCCATCACACACCTTACCTTAGACAGGTATGCATGTTCAAAGAGGGAGAACCAGACAGAGACCAGTAAAGAACACATGCAGGAAAACAGGAGCAGGCCACCTCACACCACTTGAACACCACTCGACCTAGAATGTGATTTCTCCTGCGTTGTATTCAGCCTGTCCAGATGGGAAGCTGTGTGAGTCAGTACAGCGGGTAAGAAGTGACCCTTGTTTTAAACACCTCTGTAACCTGTGACCGCCTTGCTCACATGCCGTAATGTTGACTTAGCAGGGAGGAAGGTTTAACGTTAAAGAGCTCTGGACATTTTCAGCATGGATCTGAGAAAAAGTGAAATGCACTGAGGCCGCTTTGTGCCGTCTGAACAAGTCGGGTCCTGACGCTGAAGAGTGAAGCAGCTGTAAAGGTATTTATTGTGTCAAGGACCTCCTGAGATGTGTTTCGATCAGAAGGACTGGGTGTTGGGGAATGTTCCCTGTGGGATTTGGTGCTCTTTCAGGCAGTCTAACTGTAAATTATTGATAATTTGGTTTGTTGGAAAATCAGCTTTGCTTGTTTTCTAAAACAAAGAAATAACCTAGGAGGAAAATAACTTTTCAAATACCAGTAAAATATCAGAATAATATGTAGTTTTGTTGATTATTTTAATTCACGGCTCAGTTCGTATTTAAAGGCTGTTTGTAGTTGTCTCACAACATTGTGGACATGGTTGTGCCTGTTTCTGCTGGCGTTGAGGAGCGTCCTAAAATACTGCGCTATGTTCAGCTCTGTGAAAGAGACACAGGTGGTTTATGGCCTACGAGGACACGTCGTAAACATATCGGAGCTTATGTTTTCCCCAGAATCAGTATCTGAAGAGACGCACACGGGCTGAGCTCCCTGGAGTGTTTTATAACGGAGAAAGGAAAAATAGGATTAAAATTATTATTCATGAAAGCCGTTTCAGGGCCAGAGTTAAAATTTGAATTGTTAGCACATGGAAAGTTTTGCTTCCAAACGAATAACCATCTTTGATTATTCAGTAAAATATTTGTCTTAAAATGTTCTTACCATCTACTTGTAGACATTTTTCAAACTGTCCTTTTATACTTTGTTTCAGGTTCTTAAAGTTATATTCTTTTATACTTAAATCTAAGGGGGGAAAAGGCTTTAATACTTGTTTTTACACTATTAGATTTTAAGAAGTAGACAACTACAGAAGTTTAAGGTTTTTTTTTACAAGTGTTCTGGACTTGATAAAAATGTACCACATTGAACTGAACAGTCCTTTACGAGCCATGTCTGTCTCTTGAGCTGAACGTTTAGGGACTTTTGCACGTTTAAAAATCATTACTCATATTAGGGACATGTGTAAAGACTGTTACAGTCACAGGAAATGACACGCCTGAATCAGGACATTATTATTGATGTGCTTTAACTGATTATGACTTGTGGTGTTAAACAAACTGGACCTTTTGTGACCTTTTACTCAGGGTGCACCGACTTCCTTTATTTTGGGAAATCAGAAATCGGCCGATACTTGCACGAGCAGCCGATTTTACCGATTTTTTTATTTTAACAATTGTCTGAACTTCATTTATATTCCAGAGCACTACCTCATGGCCAGTTAAAACAAGTCTGTATTGTTTCTAGGTTATTGTTCAAGGGGATGTTTTTCAACAAAATAATGTTGGAAAATTGAAGGTGCGTTGTGAACTTATAACACCCGACTGTGTCGCTTATAAAACAAAATCGGTGATCGTCCAGAAAACTGCAATCGGTGCACCCCTAACTTTTACATTTTGGAGCATGGCCAGTCACTTGAACCTGTTGGTCAAAGAAACTGTTTTTACTGCAGTGGGGGTTAAAGTCATGGTATAATTTAGTTTCCCGGGCAAGCTTATTTTTTTTTTTTTTTTACCAGTATAATCGTGAGCGATATGATATGGCCCAGCCCTAATGAGATGTAAGAAATACGCTAAACTGAGAATACACCAAGTCCTTGTAGTACAGAAACAACACGCTGAACAACAGCAGCACGAACATGAGTCTCTTACATCTATAGCATCATCCAATAATTTACTATTCATGGTAACTTGGTTATAACGTTCTGTTTTGGTATTTTATATTCCCATGTCTATAACTGAACTGGTATATATCCATAACTGGTATATATCCATACCTATAACTGGTATATATCCATAACTGGTATATATCCATAACTGGTATATATCCATAACTGGTATATATCTATAACTGGTATATATCCATAACTGGTATATATCCATATCTATAACTGGTATATATCCATATCTATAACTGGTATATATCTATAACTGGTATATATCCATATCTATAACTGGTATATATCCATATCTATAACTGGTATATATCCATAGCTGGTATATATCCATACCTATAACTGGTATATCCATAACTGGTATATATCCATACCTATAACTGGTATATATCCATAACTGGTATATATCCATAACTGGTATATATCCATAACCGGTATATATCCATATCTATAACTGAACTGGTATATATCCATAACTGGTATATATCCATAACTGGTATATATCCATATCTATAACTGGTATATATCCATAACTGGTATATATCCATATCTATAACTGGTATATATCCATAACTGGTATATATCCATATCCGTAACTGGTATATATCCATATCCATAACTGGTATATATCCATAACTGGTATATATCCATAACTGGTATATATCCATATCCATAACTGGTATATATCCATACCTATAACTGGTATATATCCATAACTGGTATATATCCATAACTGGTATATATCCATAACTGGTATATATCCATATCCATAAACGGTATATATCCATATCTATAACTGGTATATATCCATAACTGGTATATATCCATATCCATAACCGGTATATATCCATATCTATAACTGGTATATATCCATAACTGGTATATATCCATAACTGGTATATATCCATAACTGGTATATATCCATATCCATAAACGGTATATATCCATATCTATAACTGGTATATATCCATAACTGGTATATATCTATATCTATAACTGGTATATATCCTTAACTGGTATATATCCATATCTATAACTGGTATATATCCATAACTGGTATATATCCATAACTGTTATATATCCATATCCATAACTGGTATGTAGTGGACTAAGTCTACGTCGGAACTAAGTCTAAGGTCAAAACTCTTGACCTTTAGAACCTTGTGGGACAGAAGCTGTCATTTCATGTATTTGAATACATAGATACAGGTTCACCCATCCTGAGACTTTCTCTCTTGAAGATTCAAGTGAAAAGAACACTCTCTTTTATTATCATTACTATCTTACAAATGTTGATAATCAAAGTGTCT